TTCCCCTCTGTCTGTAGTCCAGAATATTCTGTACCACTTCACCCATTCAGCCTGGTGTTGGCGATAAAACATCTCCCTGCTTCTTGTCCTTGCACGTCGCACATCACAGAGGTACCTGTGGGCAGACTCCATTCCCGTGGCAGGTCTAACATGCTGAGTGATCAGCGCCACGCTTCTGTGATGCGGTGACCTATTTTCATGTTTTCACTGAACAGGTGAAACTTTGTTTTTTATGAAGCGGTCAGTTTTGTATATATAATTACCCCCTCCTTTTTTTTTTTTTTTTACCAGTCCTGGGTCTTGAACTCAGGGCCTGAGAACTGTCCCTGTATTTCTTTTGCTCAAGGCTAGCACTCTACCACTTGAGCCACAGTGCCACTTCCAGCTTTTTTTGTGTATGTGGTGCTGAGGAATCAAACCCAGGGCTTCATGCATGCTAGGCAAGCACTCTACCACTAAGCCACATTCCTAGCCCATGCACCTCATTTTTAATAGCTGAATAATCTGTAGATAATAACTATTCAACCACTGATAGATATGAGGAAGCTTTTTTTTTTAAGTGAGCTGCTGATTATGCTGTAGAATATCTTTGCACACTTGTGCAGATATACCAAAGATAGTTTCTTAGAAATGAAGTTATGGGGGGGGGAATGGGAGGGCAGGAAAACAAAGGAGGAGGCAACAATGCTTGATAAGAAATGTATTCATTACCTTGCTCATGTAATTGTAACCCCTCTGTACAGTATTTTCACAATAAAAACTATTTAATATAAAAAAAAAAGAAATGAGCCAGGTGCCGGCAGCTCACACCTGTAATCCTGGAAGCTACTCAGGAGGCTAAGATCTGAGGATCACAGTTCAAAGCCAGCCCAGGCAGGAAAGTCCATGAGACTCTTATCTCCAATTAACCACTAGAAAACTGGAAGTGGCGCTGTGGCTCAAGTGGTAGAGCATTCACCTTGAGCTGAAGAGTGCATTGACAGTGCCCAAGCCCAGAGTTCAAGACCAAAAAAACAAAAATGAAGTTATGGTCCAAGCGTACATTCATTTTTAGCATGTTAATGCCTCATTGCCTTCCAAAAGCGTACGTTTCAGCCAATAGTATGGGAAAGTGGCCATTTCCCATGTCTGTGTTAATACCCATCTTCACATTTGCCAGTGTGTTGCACGGAAGGTATTCTAATTGGCACTTCCCTCACCAGTGAGGTGAAATGTCTTTGTATAGGTTGGCTGTCTGCATTTTCCTGAGAATTGCCTATCTCTTTAGTTCTCTGCCTGTTTTTCTCCTGGCTTGTGATTCGTACCACAAAGTTTTGGATCTTAATCCTTTTCACAGACATTATTAACTACCTGCTGTTGGTTTCTCCTTTAACTTTATGGGGTCATTGATAATTTTATTTTTGTTGTCAGTTCTTTAGATTTTAGTTTATGGCTTCTCAATTCTGTGCCTTTATTAAAAGAGTCCCCAATCCTAAAATTGTGAAAATACTTTCTGGCAGTTTCATTGTAAGCTTTAACACAGGTCTTAGTACATTGCCTAGGCTGATCTCAAACTCCTGGCCTAAATTAGTCCTCCAGCCTCCGCCTCCTGAGTGGCTGCGACTGCAGGGACATGCCAACACACCAGCTTGTTAACTTTTTTTGTGTGTGGTGGTATCGCACCCAGGTCTGCTCTACTACTTGAGCTTTCATTGTTAAAACTTTTGCCCAAGGCTTACATTGGGCAATCCTCCTACCTGAACTGAACCTCTGCATGGCTGTGATCGTAGGCATGCGCTACACTCAGCTTGTTCTTTGACATAGACTCTTTTTGCCCAACCTCGCCTCAAACATAGTCCTCCTGTATCCATCTGCAAAGTGGCATGAGCCACCACACCTAGCCCTTTTTTGTTGTTATTGGTGGTGGTGATGGTCATGGGGCTTGAACTCTGGGACTGGGCTGTGTCCATGAGCTCAAGGCTAATGCTCTACCTATGAGGCACAGCAGCACTTCTGGCTTTCTGGTGGTTTATTGGAGATAAGAATCGCATGGACTTTCCTGCTAGGCTGGCTTTGTACCTCAATCCTCAGATCTCAGCCTCCTGAGTAGTTAGGATTACAGGCGTGAGCCACCAGTGCCTGGTGTGCCCTTTAACTTTTAATGTGTTAATCTGAATTTTATTTTGGTGTTTGACAAGTTTCAGCTTGGCTCTTATACTTGTAATCCTAGCTATTTGGACTACAGTTCAAGGGCAAAAGGTCATGGGGTCCTTCTCAAAATAACTAGCAAAAATAGGACTGGAGGTATGACACAGTGGTAGATCAGCATAACAAGTGCAAGGCCATAGTTCAAACCCTAGTACTACTATACACACAAGTATCATTACTTATTGTCATCAGTCCTTTTTTCTCCTATTGAAATTTTTCCATTTGGTTTAAACTGGGATAGTTCTAGGGTACTACATCTATTTGGGTTTATTTCTGGGTTGCATACACTGATTTTTTTTCCTCAGTACCACAATTTTGTTTTATGCATTGTCTTAGAACTTCAGAGTCAGCTTAAGGATTCCTTTAATGTCTTTTAAATGTTGTTCCTTTGCATTGCATTTTATGTATAATTATTTGGGATATTTATGGATTACTTGGAGTATGGAACCTGCCATTTAGGACCCTTACTCTGCTGTAAAATTTTATGCCAGTTTCCTCTAGATCACATCGTGCCTTTAGATTTCTTCCTGCAAATATATTTTATTATCACGACCTTTGTAAATAGTAAGTTCCTACTTTTTTTTCCTCTCTCCTGTATGTGTTGGTTACTAGGTAATACATCCTATGTTTCTGTAAAAGTTTATTTCTGACTAGCTTTAGTTTTCTTGGATTTTCTGTGTGTACAGTTAAGTCATTTGCATTCCATCTTCTAAACTGATGGCCAGAACACCATTTATCTTCCTCTGGTACTTAGGTGAAAGAAGAATGCTTCTATATCTTAAACTAAATCTGTTCTTTGCTGCGTAGACACTGGAGAGAAATTTTATCAGAGTAAGGAAATTTTCTTCCATTTTTTTCACTTACTAGGGATTTAGCAAAACTCCAGTGTTGCAGTAAATGCTTCTTTTGATACACTGATCTCTTTTTCTTAATGCAGTAAACTATTTTCATTTTTTTTCCTGTTCTTAAACACTACTTAATCTTTATTTTTTTAGTACCTGACTCTACTAGATTTGGTTGGTTGTTTTTTTTTTTTTTTTGATTGGTTGTGGGACTTGAACTCTGGGCCTGGCGCTGTACCTGCGCTCTTCAGCTCAAGGCAAGCACTCTACCGCTTGAGCTACAGCACCACTTCCAGTTTTCTGGTAGTTTATTGGAGATGTCTCATGGACTTTCCTGCCTAGGCTGGCTTTGAACCGTGAATCCTCAGATCTCAGCCTCCTGAGTAGCTAGGATGACAGGCGTGAGCCACTGGCACCTGGCTTAGAATATTTTTCTTAAGCAAAATAAGCCTATATTTGGTGGTTCTTTTGACTTTATATACAACTTGGGAGGTAGGTAAACCTTTAAGATTTGATAACACCAGTGGCGCTGTAACTTAAGTGGTAGAACGCTCGCCTTGAGCTGGAGAGCTGAGGGACAGTGCCCAGGCCCAGAGTTCAAGTACCACGACCAAAAAAAAAAAAAAAACCACCCTCACAAAAATGTCCTAATTGAGGACTTTTAACTTCCTAGCCACTTTTCTCTGATGCAAGTTACTAATTTCATTGAGTCTTGTTTTGTTCATGGTAATTAGTGACTAAATTGTAGAGTTCAAATCTTAGCTCTCAGTATAACAATTACATGAGATAAATGACTATATAAAATGATCATTGGGGGCTGGGAAGGTGGCTCAGTGGTAGAGTGCTTGCCTTGCATGCATGAGGCCCTGAGTTCGATTCCTCAGCACCATATAAACAGAAAAAAAAAGCCGGAAGTGGCGCTGTGGCTCAAGTGGTAAAGCGTGAGCTGAAGAGCTGAGGGACAGCGCCCAGGCCCAGAGTTCAGGCCCACAACCGGACCCAAAAAAAAAAAAAAAAAGATCATTGTAACCCCTCTAAGTAGGTCATCCCCAAAGCCTTGCATAGCATGGCTGTCAACTCCATACTGGAAAGGCAGGGACAGCAAGCTTAGTAGTTCATGTGGCCGTGGTGCTGGTCTGTGCACTGCCTTTGCTGTTGTGCAGGGACTCAGGGCCAAGACAGTGCACTGGACACGCCTGTTCCACCTGGAGTTTACTCTCCACACTAGAACAGACACTAGTTCTTTATAGGTTACTAAATGCTTTTTAACCTAGTGGGAACAATAGCTTTTTGAAGTCATTGGGAAATGAGGATCCTAACAGAAAGCTATAGAGAGGCAGTCCTTATTCCAAGAACACTGTGTTTTTTTTTTTTTTAAGTTTTTGTCTATCTGAAAGCAAAAAATGTTGAGAAAGATAGTAAAGTAGAAAATGGAGGCTGCTGCAGTCTCATCAAGAAGCAGAATATGGTTTTTCCAGGCTCTGCCACCTCAGTCCTTCATCTGATATATTTATGTTGAGTCATTTCTTTCTCTCGGGCTGGTGAACCGGAACATCATGAAATGCTTCTGCAAAGGCAGTAGCATTGTTGACTTTATTTCTATCAGAGAGAGGCCAAAGATGGAAGTGAGTCCATCTCACATCCCCGATGGTGAAGCAGTGAGGTTGGCCTTTTTACCGCTGGAGTGACACTGGACTGACGTTCATTGGCTCAGAAGCGAGCTTCCTAAGAATGTCTTTGCTGGAAGGTGGCGCTAGGCGAGTGTAGGGTGGCACTTGGGGATGGGCAGGGCCAGGTCAGGCCGAATGAAAGTACTGGGGAAGCTATTACATGTACACGTTCACAGTAGTTTTTTCATTGTAAAATACCAGTCAATGGTTTCCTTTTTGTAATTTTTTTATTGTGAAAATACTGTACAGAGAGGTTACAGTTACATGAGCGAGGTAATGAGTACATTTCTTAGCAAGCATTGTTGCCTCCTTCTTTGTTTTTCCCTACCATCCCTTCCCTCACACAATGGTTTCTTTTTCCAGAGCAATAATGAAATTTCACAGTATGAAAATGGAAGAAATCAACAAAATTATACGTGATCTTTGGCGAAGTACCTACCGAGGACAAGGTAATAAGATGGTGTTATAAACGCTCTTCCCAAAGCCCTGTCCCCCTCTCCTCTTAGCTTGCTGGCATTATCTCCCTGAACTCCAGCATTTCCTTCAGATTTTCTAAGAATTTTTATCAAGACAACATGTACTTTTTTGGGGGGAGGGAGGTGGTGTCAATCATGGGCTTGAACTCTGGGCCTGGGCGCTGTCACTCAACTTTTCAGCTCAAGACTAGTGCTCTACCATGAGCCACAGCACCACTTCCAGTTTTCTGGTGGTTTATTGGAGATAATAGTCGTATGGACTTTCCTGCCTGGACTGGCTTTGAATTTGGAGCCTCAAATCTCAGCCTCCCAAGTATTACAGGCCAGGCGTGAGCCACCGGTGCCCAGCAACATGTACTTTCTATTCCAAAGCTTCTTAGTGAAGCTTTCCAAAGACTCAGAGATGAACCTAAGGGGCTGAAAGGTGGCAGCATCCCATTTGCTTCTGGCTCCATCAGGCTCTTCCATCCATCCATGCAGCTCCAGAAAATAGAAGTCGAAAGCCAGCAGAGTCATTCCCCACTCTTCCCCCCCCCCCCCCCCCAGCAAGGCCAGCCAGTCACCAGCATGGCTCTTAAGCTTATTTGACATTTGTAATAAAAGGCTGCAGAGTGTAGATGTCTCTAAAATATTCTGTTTCAGACATTGAATACATAGAAATTCGGTCAGATGCTGATGAAAATGTGTCAGCTTCTGATAAAAGGCGGAATTACAACTACAGAGTCGTGATGCTAAAGGGAGACACAGCTTTGGATATGCGAGGACGATGCAGTGCTGGACAAAAGGCAGGTATTTCTAGAGTTAACGCAACTGAAGGGCAGACACAGTATCGCGGGCACCCCAGGCTGCCCTGGCCACTGTTGTGCCAAGAAGAAAAAAATGCAGTTAAACCTTACTTTGAGATACATTCTGATTTGAGAGAAGTCAAAATACATCCCTGGAAGTAATTATATTAATAGTGATGACACTGCTGATCATAGTAATAGCTTAGCAAACAAGAAGAGCCCAGGTTGAGCCAGATGATGCCATTTCCAGTCTCTTAAGGCATCCCATTGATAATATGTCCACACTGTACAGGAAGGACTGAGTCCCCTCTACCTCTTGCTTGGACCAGAAGGATGTGCCAGGCAGCTAGTGGCACTGGTATATACTCAAGGGCCTCTGCTGAGAGCAACACATACAAGATACAGTCACCAGGTCAGGTCAGCTGGCCATGGAGGCTCCAGAAAGAGCCTAAGTCAGATATGAACAGGGAGGTCAGGGAGAGGATAGTCAGAACACGAGGCTAGGTATTTTTCATTGTGCACAGCTTTGTGCCAAAGACTTCAGGTTCTTCAGGTGATTTTGATAAAATTTCAATCCTAGAAAAGGGTTGGCCATATACTTAAAGAATATGTGGTATGGACTGGAAATGTGGCTTAGTGGTAGAGTGTGTGCTAGCATCATGAAGCCTGGGTTCCATTCCTCAGTACCACATACACAGAAAAAGCCAGAAGTGCCGTTATGGCTTAAGTGGTAGAGTGCTAGCTTTGAGCACAAACAGACCCTGATTCAAGCCCCAGGACTGGCCAAAGGAAAAAAAATAAGTGGTGTAACCGATAGCTTGTATATATGATCTCTAAGTTGAAATTGCTTTGAAGCAAATACTTCCTTAGCTAAAGCAGTCACCCTGCCTCCCTCATACTGGCCTTACAGAGGCTGGGGGTGCAGTTCCAAGTTAGGAAGGAAGCACCTATCCTCAAGAAGGTAGTACTTTCTGTAACCTGCCTGCCTGCTCTGGGCATGAGAGGAAAGGGACTTGAGCTGACCCAGAAAGTGATTTCTATTTTCCACAGTAGCCCCTACACTTGCCCCACTTTGGTGGTGCTGCAGATTGAACTGAGGGCCTCACTTGCTACTGTACTCTACCACTTAAAACAAACATCCAAGCCCTAGTCTTAAACCCTGTGTCCATACACTCACATGGCTTTTGCCTGATGGCTTTTGTTACCTGCATTTCTTACAAGTAAAGCCATACTTTTATGCTCCTCCTGATACTTTGACCCATGACTGTTTTTTTCCTCTTTTACTCAAAATTAGATACAGATATTCCAGTAGAGACTAGAACACAATACCTGGTGCCTTCGAACCACAAAACATGGAGAACCTGTGATCTGGGGGTGGGGTGTAATTTTCTAATGTTTATAGTCCATCTTTACTAAAATCCTTAGTTACAGATGTGCATCTATTTTAAGCATGCAATTTCAAATTTTAGTACAACAGGGTTTTCTGTTTTTGTCAGTCATGGAGCTTGAACTGTGGGTCTCAGCTCAAGGCCCAGCACCCACTTGTGGCTTTTTCTGTTTATATGCTGCTGAGGAATCAATCCCAGGGTCTCATGCACGGGAAGCAAGCACTCTACCACTGAGCCACCTTCCCAGGCCCCAGCAGGGTTTGTTTGTTTGTTTTTAATGGAGGGGACTGCAGCTTTCTGTTAACTTGTAAATGTTTGGCCAAGAGTATGCAGCTGGTGGTTCACTGTCATGTGAGCATGTGATTTCCCCTAACAAAAGGGACTCTGGGACATTTTCCCTCCTTTTGCTTCTACAGAGAATGTGCCAGCTTTGCTGTGTGTGACTTAACAGGGTCCTTTCTTTCAGGTATTGGCCTCACTCATCATCCGCCTAGCACTGGCAGAGACATTCTGCCTGAATTGTGGCATCCTAGCCCTGGATGAACCAACAACAAATCTTGACAGAGAGAACATTGAATCCCTTGCGCATGCTCTGGTTGAGTAAGTATCTTATGTTTGGGAGCATGGTTTGTTAAGGGAGACTGAATTATGTGTCCTTGGCTTCCAGTAGAAGCCAACTCTACCCCCCCACTTTTGACTGTAATTCCTCAGATTCCCCTGAAAAGGGAACTAGACGAGGACCAGCAGCCCTAGACCATCCTTCCTCTCCCCATGTGTTCATAAGGAAACCTAGGGTGAGGGGTTCCCAGTTTTGTTTGGGTTTCCCCAAACCCACAGGGCGTGCACAATGTATGTGCCCTGCCAGACACTGTAGGTGGTGGTATGGGTTTAGTACTGTATCAGACGACTGAGGGATGGCAGTCACTAGTGTGAGGAGAGGGGGGGACGATACAGCTTTTACCGCGTTCACTTGTGTTGGGATAGTCTCCAAGGTGAACAGCTCTTCCTTATACACTGTAGCTGCAATAGTAGGCGAAAGATACTCACCCGAACGTAGAAAGGATCTTGCTGGCAGAGATGGGGTTTTCTGTGACACTAGCAGCAAGGGTTGGGACAGGAGCACTGAGCAAAATTGTCTTTTCCAGCCTGCTGGGGGACCAGTGAGGAAGAGCTGCTGCTGCTTTTGAAACCTTAAGTGCATCCAGTTAATAAATAAGTGGTTAAAAAGTCAGGTTTCATTCTCATAACTGGTTACCTCAGCATATAGATAGTGAGCAAAAACGCTCCCAGTCCACCCACTCAGGTCCCCCGTGTGTCATAGCACTGATGCATTTAGTGACTAGTGGTGGCAGAATTCTAAGTAGAGCCAGCTCTAAGAAAGCAGTGTTATTCCCCTACCTGTTGTTTGTCTTAACAGGACAGCGGGCCAGGAAATCTAGGCAGGTGAGCAGTTTAGGTATTCCTAGAGCGTTTCTTCCTGTTTTGATCTGGAGAAACTAGTCCAAATTAAGACCAGGTTCTTAATCCCTTGCGCCAAGCCTAGGTGGGACATAGACCCTGCGTCTCCACTGCCTGGAGAAGAGGGCGGAGAGCTGGCTGAGCTGAGGGCCCAGGCCAGCCCGCCCCACGCCAGCCAGGCTCGCAGTACAGGAAACTCAGATCTCCCTTATTTGTTGTTTTAGTAATCAGGCTTCTAAATATATTGTTGCAGGATAATAAAAAGTCGCTCACAGCAGCGTAACTTCCAGCTTCTGGTCATCACTCACGATGAAGATTTTGTGGAGCTCTTGGGACGTTCTGAGTACGTGGAGAAATTCTACAGGATTAATAAGAACATTGACCAGTGCTCAGAGATTGTGACATGCAGTGTTAGCTCCCTGGGCTCTTATGTTCACTAACCAATAGCTTCTGATGCCAGTGGAGCCCAATGCACTAACGGGAACTTGGTTGTCAAGGCTCTATGATAATAATGGAAGTCACCTCACCTGAAATCCAACAGATTTTCCCAGGCCGCCTCACACACGCTCTGTTCTTCACGCCTTTCCCTGGGACAAGAGGAATAAATGACCTCATGCTTTGTTAATTTATGGGGTTTTTTTATTTAATTTTATTTGTGAACATACTGTACAGAGGAGTTACAATTACATGGGCAGGATAATGCGTACATTTCTTACCAAGCATTGCAGCCTCCTCCTTTGTTTACCCTTCACATCCCTTCCCAGCCTCCCCCCTCCCCCCCCAATTGTTAATTTATGGTTTAGGTATTGAAATTCAATGTCATCTGTTTTCTTGCAAAAAAAATTATCTGAAGATGCTAGAAAGATTTAAGATTTGTGGGGCTGGGAAGGTGGCTCAGTGGTAGAGCGCTTGCCTTGCATGCATGAGGCCCTGGGTTTGATTCCTCAGCACCACATAAACAGAAAAGGCCGGAAGTGGGGCTGTGGCTCAAGTGGTAGAGTGCTAGCTGAGGAGAGAGAGAAAGAGAACCCAGTACCCACTGTTCCTGGAAATTTCACTTTCAAATTCCACTTGTTGAGTTCTGTCAGCTGCTTATGGGAGCAAAATTACCCTCCTGAGAGAACTGAGGAAGGAGTGGTTAACCATGTTCTGTGGTTCACATGAAGCTAACGAGGACCTGGAGAGAAAAACAGACTACAGCCCAAGGACTCCTAGCTTCAATGAGCTCAAGTCAACTGCAGCCTTACAGATAAAGCAGATATACAGAGTCATCAAGGTATTTCCATCCCTATACAGGAGTGCTTCAGAAAATGATCATCTGTTCGTAAGTCATCACAATGGTAAAGCTGGGGATTGGATAGACAACATTTGATACATCTGTTACTTGTCAAAATTAAGGTCAAATAAAAGCAAATAAAACATTTCTCATTAATATTCACACTAGCTACCCTACCCTCTATCAGGCTGATTAAATGACAATGAGATGCTTACAACTCTGATAGACAGTAAGCACCATTAAGTGCTCAAGAAAAACTTTACGACTTCCATTTACTCTTACCTACAGTAGCCTGAGCTCCCAGCCAGGTCACATGACAAAACGCAAAACTTGGGTGCATTCCTAACACTAATTCCATAGGTATTGGTAACATCCTTATCCACATGGTGATCGCACCTCTTCCTGCTCTCTCTTCCACCATACCTTGGAGCGGCTTGGCTGGAGGCCAGCCTTCGTATTCTAGGAACTGCTGCCACTCCACAACCTGGGCTGTGCCTCCTCTGCGTTGGCCAGTGTGTCTTCACACGTCACTCCTAGAAACATCAACCAGCAATCCTCGACCCCAGCACAAAGGCAGTCTTCCCACTGAACCTTTTGCCCAGGTTCAGAGATAGAAATGGTGCATGTTTTGTCCCATATGCTGAAGCTAGATGTAATATACTCCAGAACATGATGAAATCTAGGACTCGGCATCCACACACGGTGAGACTAAAGGAGAATCCTCCTGAGGGAGGAGCACAAAGGGACAATGCCTCTGTGCCTCTGATCATACAAAATACCCAAATGGAAACACATGATTTTCTTTTTGTCTTGTTTGTTCGTGTATCCGTCTTTTGGGCGTGAAGGGGGGCAGAAAAATGGAGGGACAAAGAGTGAACAAATAACAGCAGTGGTACTCAGTAGAGACTTGAAAATGAACTGTACAACTTGTGGGGGAGAGGGGAAGGAGGGAAAAACTGGGAAGGGGTGATAATGTCCAGAAAGAAATGTATTCTTTACCTGACTTTTAAAACGGTAACTACTTTGTACAACTTTGAGATTCGACCTCACCCTAGTTAAGACAATAACAAACGCTGAGGACGATGTGAGGAAAAAGGATCCTACTGCACTGTTTGTAGGAATGTAAACTATGTAAGCTAACAAGCACTCTGGGTGGCGGTTTGGAGGTGCTACAAAAACGAAACAGACCTTCCTTATGACCCAGCCATACCAGAGGTTCTGGGCACCTACTGAGAACATTACTGCAAAGGCACACCCGTGTTCACTGCTGCACTACACAGTAGCCGAGTTACGGAAACAGCCCAGATGCCTTACCATAAATGAGTGGGTCCAAAAAGTGTACCTATGCACATGGAATTTTACTCATCAGTTAGAACATGTCATTTACAGGGAAATGAGTGGACCTAGAAAGAATCATGTTAAGTGAAGCCAAGCTCAGAGAGAAGCGGTGCGTGTTTTCTCTCCTGCGTGGAAGCTAGGCATAACATACACAGGGCCCAACACATTTACACACATACTGGACATGGAAACTTGCGGGGGAGGGAAGGAGGGGGCATTAGGAACAGAGGAAGGGTGAGCAAAAGAGTCGTGTACACACTATGTGAAAAAGGAACTAAGTATCTCACAGGCAGGTATGGGAGAGGAAAAATGGGAAGCAAAGGGAGGGGCGACATTGTCCTAAAAGCACTATGCATTTAACTGACTTCTGCAACTGTAACTTCTTTATACAACTACTTAACAAACCTGAAGGTGGGGGGGGGGAAGGACTGCAGGGGTATGCCTGCAATGGTAGAACACCTGCCTAATATGTAAAGCTCTGGGGTTCAATTCCCAGCCCCTTAAAGGGACAAAAAGAGGGAAGAAAGAAACAGAGACAAAAAAGAACTTCCTACAAAGGAGGGAAGCCCAAAAGATGGGCATCAGTGGCTTACACCTGTGATCCCAGCTGATCTAGGAAGAACTAATCTCAAGTGGCTGAGATTCTCAGATCTCAGTTCAAAGCCAACCTGAGCACAGAAGTTGATGGGAATCTTATCTCTAATAAACTACCAGAAAGCCAGACAGATGTGGCTCAAGAGATAGAGGGCCAGTTTTGAGTGGAAAAACTAAGGGACAGTGTTCACACTCTGCATTGGGACAAAAAAAAAAACAAAAACCCAGGTCCAGTGTAATTTCTAGCCAACTTTTTTTTTTAAGTAAAACTAACTTTATACTTATTTTAACCCAATTAGCAAAAAAAATACTTCATTTTTTCTAAAACATCTGGAATTTAATGGAGAAAAAAGGCTTGAAGAGGGGGAGTGTTAGGTCTGTGAAAGGGATGAAAGTGGAAGAGAAAAACGAGAAAGTGTAATAGAAGTGACAATGACTCAAGGACATCTACCCATATAGAAATCACGTAACACACTAATTTGCATAATTAACATGCTAATACAATCAAGCATAGTAAAACATCTATAAAGAATAAATTTTAGAATGGAGATATTGAAAAGTTGACATCACAATCACTCATTCTGTGAGTCAGTGGGTGTTTGTACAGAAGAAAGGGTTTGTGGAGTTTTTCCAGAGAAACTGAAGGCTAAGATCTTTGAGGGCTTAAAGGATTTGGACAAAGAAGAAAGAATAAGAAATTCTAGTTGGAGGGAACAGCTTGAGAAATTGCCCAGGGGTATAAAAGCCGTGTTTTGTAGATGAGCAAATAAGTAGACATCCTGTCTACTCCTGTCACATCTCAAAAAAGAAAGGCACAAACCCAGATTCTGCTCTGTCTAGCCAACTTTTTTTTTTTTTTTGGAGGGGGGGGTCCGGTCCTGGGGCCTGAGTTCTGGGCCTGGGCGCTGTTCCTCAGCTCTTCAGCTCAAGGCTAGCACTCTACCACTTGAGGCACAGCGCCACTTCCGGCTTTTTTCTTTTTGCTTATGTGGTGCTGAGGAATCGAACCCAGGGCCTCATGCATGCAAGGCAAGTACTCTACCACTGAGCCACCTTCCCAGCCCAGCTTTTAACTTGTGCCACATGAAGTACACATTGAAATATGAAGTAACAAAAGGTTTTTTTTTTTTAAAGGAAAAGAGGGGGAGGGGGAAGAGAAGGGAGAGAAGGGGAGGGGAAGGAAGGGAGGGGAGGCAGTTTACCAGTTTCTTATGTCTGGCATAGTAAATAAAAAACAGCAACTCCAAGCACAGCATTGTGAAATTAAAATCATAATTATCAAGAACAGCCCTTCATATTTCCAGAGAAAGAGTAACAAAGTATTTAGATTTAAATGGTTTGGGACTTGTGAGCCTCTGAAGGATGGGAGGCTTTTAAAGTTCTGAAAAAAAAAAAAATCCCACCTGAAACTCCATACTTAGCTAAACTGTTAACTTGTTTAAGGTAAAAAAAAAAAAAAAAAGACATATTTAGATACAAATTTACCTTCTACAACCTTTAATTAGAGAGCTGAGTGCAGTGGCTTAAGCCTGTAGCCCTAGCTATCTAGAAGGGATTGGGAGGATCAAAGTTCAAGGCTAGCCTATGCACAAAAGTTTTCAAGACCCCATATCAATTCAGTGGCTGGTGTACAGGCACCAGCCTGTAATCCCAGCTACAAGGGAAGCACAATGTCTGGGCAAAGTGGGGTAGCACCTGTCATCCCCAGGATTACAACCCAGGCCTGTCCAGGCATAACGTGAGACACTCTCTTGAAAACAATCAATGCAGAAAGGACGTGGAGGCAAGGCTTAAGGAGTAGCATGAGGCCCCAAGTTCAATCCTCAGAACCACAAAAGAAAAAAAAAGGGGGGGGGAGGCAGGAGCCAGTGGCTCACCCCTATAATCCTAGCTCAGGAGACTGAAATCTGAGGATCACAGTTTGAAGCCAGGCCAGTCAGGAAACTTATCTGTGAAACTCTTTTCTCCAGCTAGTCACCAAAAAGATGCAAGTGGAGGTGTGGCTCAAGTGGTACAGCACCAGCCTTGAGCAAAACAAGCTAAGAGACAGTATTGCCAGGCCCCGAGTTCAAGCCCTAGTACTTGATAAAGAAAAATTTAAAAAGAAAAGCCATTAGAGAATATGTTTAACCTAATTTAAACAGTACACAGTAATGACATGTTCATGCATATGGTAATATCTAATACTGTAGGGGACCCCATTAATGCATGAACCCTTTAGGTTTTATGGATCAATTACAAGCATTATTTTAAAAAAATAAAAGCTATCAGAGGAGGTTTTTCCCTGAGAATCAGGAAGATCTGGGATCAAAGCCAGGAAAGGCACCAGAGAAACACAGGTGAGGGTGATGGTGACCAGAGACCTCACAGAGATCAGAGGCCATCAGGAGACTCCAGGGAGATTTCTGTAGGGAGAGGAATCTTTGCATGGTGGCTTGAATTCAATCCCTTGAAAGGAATTTATACAAATGGCTGAGAATTTGAGTTTTATCACCAATCACAGAAAGCTAAGCAAATTAAAATAGGACAATTAGCCCCAGAACGGTGTGTGCGCACGCTGCATGTACCTATGCACACACACAGTCTCGGGCTTGAACTCAGGGCCTGAATTGTTTGTTTCCCCTCAAGCCTAGTGCTCTACCACTTGAGCCACAGCTCCACTTCTGGCAGGGCTTTTTGATTCGTTTTGTTTTTTGGTAGTTAATTGGAGATAACAGTTTCATGCACTTTCTTGCCAGGGCTGGCTTCAAACTCCAATCCTCAGATCTCAGCCTCCTGAGTGGCTGGGATGACAGGTGTGAGCCACTTAGTACCCAGCTGGAAGAAAAAAGAAAGGAAAAACACTACCATTTGCAGGGAGAGTCAATCTTATTCCCATTTCCCCTGTGAATATATCAGTCTAATTCTGCACATGCAGACAAGGCTTCTGGCCACCTCACAGTATGGCCCTTCTACATAGGTAAGGCAAAGAAATAAGCACGGAGGGAAGCTGCAAAAGGGACGGCAAAGAGGAAAAAGCAAATACTCCTCACGGGCAACAAATGCCTACACCTGAGAAGCCAGGGAACAGCACGACTTAAACCCCACAGGGAGGCCAATGCCCCAACAACAGCATGGAACCCGAGAGGTCCCGAGTTTTGCTGTTGCAGAAGTCACAAGATGATGCTCTAAAAAAACGCGCTCTGCAGCCGGGCGCCGGTGGCTCGCGCCTGTCATCCTGGTTACTCAGGAGGTTGAGATCTGAGGATGACGGTTCGAAGCCAGCCCGGGCAGGAAAAGTCCATGAGACTCTTTTTATCTCCAATAAACCACCAGGAGAACCGGAAGCGGCGCTGTGGCTCAGGCGGTAGCGCGCTGGCCTTGGGCTGCAGAGCTGCGGGACGGCGCCCCAGGACCCCGGGTTCAAGGCCTCGACCTCGCACGGGGGGCGGAGTCGGCCCGGGATGGGCGTGGCTTTCCCATCGCCCCGCCCCGCGGCTTCGCACCTGGGAGCCCCGGCGCGCATGCGTGGAGGGCCCCGCGGGCTGGGGCCTAACAGGTGACCGGACGCCGCCGA